TTTACACTTCTAAAACTGGGCATTAGAATAGATGTCATGCTTATGTGTAAATGATAAATGCAGTTGTACGTAATAATACGTAATTAACACGAAAATAAAAAATGTATAGGTTTCAATGACATTCGGTTCTATTTATGTAATTTTGAATTTGAATTTGAAATCTTTATTTTCGAACATAAAAAGAAAGTATATAAAATAAAACAATGTTTAAAAAAAATCATAAAGCGATCGTATTATTATTATGTTCGAGATATCAACCACGTGTCGATAATGTTTGTATAAAACTGGTAAAATGTACGCCTATGTCTTAAAAAAAACATAATGATACTTAAATATTCTCTTCTCAGCCGTGATCAAAATCCCGTCCGTTTTCTGATTGGCATTTCGCAAGGATTCCTGGGTAGTTAAAGTGTGTGGAGCCTGCACCGCTTCAAGGGTACACAGGGGGCGCTGCTGAGCACACTTCAGAGCGTTAAAATGCTATAGGGACTTGTAGACTCGGCGAGCACGTGCAATTTAAGTCCACGAGACCGAAAGTCCGCATGAAGTGCGTCATTTGGGACAGGGCCAATGTGCCTCAGACAGGAAGTGGAATTTTGAATCCTGTAAAAGTCCCTCTTCCTCTCTCTTTCATCACAGAGCCAAGAAGATTCAGTGTCGTAGACCCTTTCTACACTCCCTCGGGGTTGGTGTGTGCGGTTTTACGGTGCCCGTGGGGTTCTGACAGAAGCAGGGAGAGCACTGTGTCCTTGTGCCCTCTCAGCAGGGCTTTTCTCTCCCATCAGCCCATTCACTTGAGCAGATTCAAATAACGCTATAAAACTGAATGCTAAATGTTGGCGTTATCTCGTCTGTAATGAAAAGCCCATGAAATTGATTTAATGCTGCAGCGCCTCTCTCCAGCAGCCTCTCACGACGGAAACACAAAACAATGAGCCTCCAAGATCTAATAATTAACCCACCTAATCCGCCAAAGTTAATCTCTCGCTAGAACTTTGTTCCAGTGCTAACTTTGGCACAGGGAGAGAGAGGCCACTGGGGGACCGAAGATGTTGTGCGGCGCGGATGACACTTCGCTGAAGGACACAACAGCGAGCAGCGCTAAAGAGAAGCAGGGACGCGTGACCTTCATTAGCATTAGCATTAGCATACTGATTTGTGTTTTGTGAAGAGATTAACGAGCTGAGGAGAGAAACAGGAAATGACATGCGTAATTCAAACCAGAGACACCACAGAGGTTTGATTATCTTAATCTGGACCTGTTTATTTGTACTTTTCTTTTTTTCTTAATCTATTATACACGTTGGTATGTTTCTTATACATTAGGATTTCTTTTACTTTTAGTGGCCATATTGATATTTTTCTCTTTTTTGATTATTTTATATACACTGCTCAAAAAAATAAAGGGAACACTAAAATAACACATCATAGATCTGAATGAATGAAATAATCTTATTAAATACTTTTTTCTTGTTTTTACTTTTTGATATATACTTGAGCAGTATATTTTTAGTTGTATAGTTGTTTTTCTTCATTCATCTTTCCTTTTTTTATTCAGTAGCCATATGACCATAAAAGTCTTAATTTTTTCATTCTCCTTAAACTAACCAAATGGCAAAATTGATTTTATTTTTATATTTAGTTTATTTGAGTGGCTGAATGGCACTGAATGTTTTAAAAACATTTCTTGGGTTCTTTCTATCTATGTTGTATGTAAAATGATGCACAATGCTTTTGACAGTCGCGGCAAATTCAGATCAGGGGCCTCGTTTATAAACGTTTCGTACGCACAAAAGAAGGCGTACGCCACTCTCTACGCAATAATTGGTATATAGTTCATTTTTTTTAAAAAAATTGCTGATAATTTACTCACCCCCATGTCATCCAAGATGTCCATGTCTTTCTTTCTTCAGTGGAAAAGAAATTAAGGTTTTTGATGAAAACATTCCAGGATTTTCTCCATATAATGGACTTCAATGGGGACCAAACGGTTCCAGGTCCAAAAGACAGTTTCAATGCAGCTTCAAAGGGCTTTAAACAACATCAGACGATGAATAAAGGTCTTATCAAGCGAAACGAATAAATAACAAAGTTTAAGTTTTATAAGCTCAAATGCTCGCCTTGCTCTGTTCTGTGATGCGCGTTCGTGACTCTTCCGTTCGAACTCGTTTATCAAATTGAACAAATCTTTTTTCGAGTCATGACTCGAAGGGTCCTAGACAAGACCCTTATTCATCGTCTGGAATCATTTAAAGCCCTTTGAACAGTTTGCAGTTTGCATTGAAACTCTCATTGGTTCCCATTGAAGTCCATTATATGGAGAAAATCCTGGAATGTTTTCATCAAAAACCTTAATTTCTTTTCGACTGAAGAAAGAAAGACATGGACATTTTGGATGACATGGGGGTGAGTAAATTATCAGCAAAAGTTTTTTAAAAAGTGAACTACTCCTTTAAGAGAAAACTGCATAGGATGTGCGTGTTCACCGTTTTATAGATCCGAATATTTCTGTCCGTACGCACATCCTATGCTTAATCCGTACGCCACTTCTGACGCAAATCCTTCGCAAAGTTTTATAAATGAGGCTTTTGGTGTGTAAATGAAATCTCTTTATGCGTTATCACTTGCTTTGCAGTGTAATATAGAAACAGTCCCTCTAGACTCGAGTAACCAGAAGGTGATAAATAATGGATCACAAATTATTGGGTTGCCAATCTCAAATCTTTACCTATTACGCTACTCCACCTTCATAGTTTTGCGTTGCAGTCTGGTGTAATGACACGCTGTAGAAGGGCTTTTGACCCCCTGCAAGTTTTTACTGCTCTGATTAGCAGCTGTCAGACACAGATAGTGCCAGGACTATAATTACGTTTGTTATGAAATAATAGAGCTGTAGATACTCTGGCCTGTTGGTCTTATTTAGTTGGCTTCAGCAATGATGATGATTATGTTTGATTACTTTGTTTGAACACTGAACTCACGACTGTCATTAAATATGTAGATTCCTCAGCAGTCTTGGCTTACCACAAACAAATTGCTTGCTGTGAATCACATTGTCATTTAATAGAATTTGCCTATACTTGTTCAGTATTAAAGGACAACTCCGGCGCAAAATGAACCTTTAGTCGGTACCTCGTCGACCGTTCTCTGTTATTTGTTTTTTGATTAGTTTTATCTCTAAAAACTGTTTAGCGTATAACACTAGTATATATGGCATAGAGTAATGAAAAATAAAAATGGCTAGTTTATACCACTAACAAGGCTCAAAATAGCCCCACACTAGCACAGTAGCATAATAAGGGTCCCTACATGCAAACCAAAGCATTGAGAACGTTGTAAGTGTACAGAGAGTTTAATAAGAAGATCTTTTATAAAGACAGTCCATCTCGTGTATACAGACAGGATCGATAAGTCGATATTTTATAAGTCTTAATAAAATATCTTCTTATTAAAGTTCCCAATGCTTCGGTTTGTATGTAGGGACCCTCATTATCAGGGACGTGCAACGACATTTTGAGGGGCTCAAGTGGAAAAAAGGGCACCAAATTTATTTATTTATTTATTTTTTACTTTTTTAAACAAAGTATATATACTTTTATACTTGTACTATAACTCTGACTTTTTTAAAAAATATATTAAAAAAAGTAAATTTTATCTTCCTCAAACTCACACAATTGTTTCATTTTCAAAAGATTTCTACAAAATGATCAGTTCACACAGAAACCATGTCTCCTTAGGCCTATTCATAGGTTTATAGAGCAGCAAAAGAATCCATGCCATAATGTACATGTTTTCTATGCTACTAGTTTCAATCAAGTATATATTAGACACCTGATGGTGACAAGGACTTAGTTTCACATTTGAGGGAGGACTGTATCAAATAAACCTTCAAAATACACATTTAGATGGAGTTTGTTTTAAACCTACTATCCTCCATCTGTTTGCATCATTCGATTTCTTCTATTGTATGTAAGCCATTAACTTCAATAATACGAATTTTAGGTCATAAAAAGTCGTTCGGATTTTCCATACAAGGTCATAAGTTACAGTTAGCCACGTCTTAAATTTTATGCTCATTATAATTTTTCTTGATAAAATGAAATCAAGTTCGAGTCAATATCGTCATACTCTATATCAAAACCGAGTTCGAATGTTCGATAATGTTTATGTGCCAAAAGTGCCTGCTCATTATGTTACTGTGTTAGTGGTATAAACTAGCCATTTTTATTTTTCATTACTTTATGCCCTATATACTAGTGTTATACGCTAAACAGTTTTTACAGATAAAACTCTTTACATTCGATTATCATGAAATTATCATGAAATGTTATTAGACCACAGGTTCGTTTTGCGACGGAGTTAAAAATCAGGTGGCTTTCTTCATATTTTTAACTCTCAAGAAGCACATTTAGATGAGCTGTACGGACACACACACTTGGGTCTCACACAGTCATTATCACCTACCATTATGAACCTTAAAGAGGACCACATGCGTCTCAGTGAGATAATAGGCTCAATTCATCCTCCAATTCGCTCACACTCACAAATGATCACACTGATGGATTGAGCACTGATGCGTCTCCGTCAACTCGTCCAGCACGCGAGGGTGGACAGGCGCTGTCGCCGTGTGTTAAATCATACGCTCAGGCAAACAAGTGCGTTTGTCCTCCCAGCGGTGGAACCGTTTTTATAAATGCCCATAATTCTGTGCTGCTCGAGTGTTATTGTGAAAGATTCTGAAGTAAGTGCAAATAAACTTTAATATATTACCTTTGTCCCAAGGAATAGCTGACGGCCGTTCTATGAGCAGCGTGTTCCTGTCGTTAAACTGGCTGTAGATCAGTCCACTCTAAACCATTATATTTGAGTTCTTTTGATTTACGAGTAATTATTTGAACGATGATGTAGCATCTTCCCTTGTGTGTGTGTGTGTGTGTGCGTTGCATTGGTGTGAATGAAACTCTGCTGCATTCATGTGAGTAATCGTCTTCTCTCCGCAGGTTTCCCAGCGACGACGTACGGACCCGTGGCAGCGGCGGCGGTGGCGGCGGCACGAGGCCCAGGTAGGACGACCCCGGGAAGAAGCAGCTACATGAACGCAGGGCCAGGTAAACACTCTTTACCCCCTGTGTTCTGAGTGGCTACTGCTTCCCCAGCCGAAAACACACTTGTGTCCTGTCTATCTCATCACGTGCCCTAATCCTGACTTACTCCATCCAAAGACTAAAATCTCTGCTCCGTAGGAGTGATGTGAATAAGTTTGGACCCCCATGCTAAAGTTGCCTAAAAAGAGGAATAAAAAATCATCTTTTGGATGTTGATCTTAATGCCTTAATTAGAAAAATGAGGAAAACTCCAACCTTTAAGGACACCAATTTTCTTTGTGAATGAATAATGTATCATAAATAAATAAATGTTTTTCCTTAAAATACAGGGTGCATGCTGTAAGTCAGGACACCCCTATGTCAAATTCCCATAGAGTCAGGCAGATTTTTATTTTTAAAAGCCAGTTATTTCATGGATCCAGGATAATATGCATCCTGATAAAGTTCCCTTGGCCTTTGGGATTAAAATATCCCCACATCATCATCACACCTTCCACCACATCTAGAGATTGGCATGGTTTTACTTCAGTTAGCCTAATAGCTGGTTTGATTTGCATTGAAAGATGATCTTATGGAAAGTACCCCATGCCGATCTCTAGATGTGGTGAATGGTGTGTGATGATGTGGGGATATTTTAATCCCAAAGGCCAAGGGAACTTTATCAGGATGCATATTATCCTGGATCCATGAAATAAAATAAAAATCTGCCTGACTCTATGGGAATTTAACATAGGGGTGTCCTGACTTACAGCATGCACCCTGTATTTTAAGGAAAAACATTTATTTATTTATGATACATTATTCATTCACAAAGAAAATTGGTGTCCTTAAAGGTTGGAGTTTTCCTCATTTTTCTAATTAAGGCATTAAGATCAAATATCCAAAAGATGATTTTTTATTCCTCTTTTTAGGCGACTTTAGCATGGGTGTCCAAACTTATTCACATCACTGTATGAATCGATTCGTATCGATCCATCAATTATACACCCGATGCATCGATGTGTCTGCAAGAGTATCGATTACGTGTTTATTTTGCCGCCTGTCTATTTTCAGCATCTGCGAACAACATATTCCTAAGCTGCGGGTGGCGCTAACCTCATTATTGTCTTCACCGCTTCACTTACGTTTAACAGACTATCTGTGTACACACACATTGTTGATGTTGAGTCTGGCTTTCACGAGGATTGAACTGTCAGATTGAGAGTGAAATGTTACACACTCGAACTCATTTGAACTCGAAGTCATTTGGTTCATTCAACAAAACGAACAAATTGACTCGGAAAAAGATTCATTCATTTTGATAAACGAGTTCAAACAGGAGAGTCACGAACGCGCATCACAGAACAGAGCAAGGTGAGCATTTGAGCTTATAAAACTTAAACTTTATTATTTATTTATTAAATGAGCGATCGTTTCGCTTGATAAGGCCCTTATTCATCGTCTGGTGTCGTTTAAAGTAGGGCTGTCAAACAATTAATCGCGATTAATCGCATCCAAAATAAAAGTGTGTTTACATAATATATGTGGTTGCACTGTCTATAATTATTTTGTATATATATAAATACACTCACATGCATGTATATTTAAGAAAAAAATATAATTTATATATAAAATATTGATATTTATATATAATATAAATTATATATAAATATATACACAGGATATACATAAATATTTACAAGTATATTTAAAATAATTATACACAGTGCACCCACATATATTATGTCAACACAAACTTTTATTTTGGTTGTGATTAATTGCGATTAATCATTTGACAGCCCTACTTTAAAGCCCTTTGAATAGTTTGCAGTTTTTACTAAAACTCTCTTTTGGACTTTTTATTGTTTGGTTCCCAATGAAGTCCATTATATGGAGAACAATGCTGGAATGAACTAGACACCACAGCTTAGTCTTAACATCTCAGAGTTGTATACTCGATAACACACTTTAGTTCTGCTTTCAGTTGGAGTTTATAGGCCTAGTAAAACTGCACTTAAGAGGAAATTGTCTTGGAGAATTGCTTTCACGAACGCACTCAATCCCTCATCTAAATTCTCCAGTGTTTCACCAGAGAGTGTTTCAGAGATTCAGGTTTGGACCTGACAGACCGCAGGGCACACAGCTTTCTGGAGGCCCATTTCCCCGGAGTGTGTCCTCGTCCTTTCCTGCTTTGCTGAGTCCCTTTCAGAGTGGTCTCAGTGGAGGATCATGGGATGCTTGTTGTTGCTTTCCTAATCATTAAGGCAGTGTGTCTTTCTCTGTTTTTGGTTCACCTCATCATGTGCAGCTTTCATCCCCCGTCTTGACCCGAGTGAGATGGTTGTGGTGGTAAGACACTAACAGATCAGTGGAAAGTGATGAGTTTGCGCTGCAGATGGAGTGCAGTGGAGGCAGTTTCCTGTGCCCTGGTGTATTGTGGGAGTTTGCAGTGTTGAGAATAAGCAGTACTGAGGCCAGCGGTTGCTGCATTTAACCTCTGTGTCCTACCGAATCTGCTGGTGTCTTGCTGGTACTGGGTTGAGGTCCATTCGTTATTATTAATGTATTGAAGCGAGTTTGTATTTGAGGGAGCAGATGAGATGTTGTTTTACGTTCTGCTCTGCTGCAGTGGGCCGTCTGCCCGGGCATGAAGACGCTCCTGTTTGGCAAAACACCTCACATTATCCAAGATCATTATCCATTTCATCCCAACAAGCTCTGTGAGCCTTGAAAAGCATCTCTGTGCGGGTTTGGCTCCTGTGTAAGAGGTGAGATTACACACAGGCCTGCATTAGCTCCTGCTGGACTGAACCTGATCTAAATCCCCATAGAAAATTGGGGAGGATGGGGATGGGATGCTGTTTTTTCTTTGTTTTTTTCACATTAAACCTGTCCGTTTGGTTCAGAATTGGGTTTGTGTGGTTGATGTGGTTTTTTAGTTTAGTTTGCATTTTGTTAGTATGTCCATGGCACACACACACTTCACAGTTGTTGTTACCTTGCTACAGTGGTACAAAAAGTAGTAGTACCAGATCCTTCTGCTCTTTGCTGTCTCTAATAGAGAAAAGTAGACATTTACAGTGATGTGAATAAGTTTGACACCCATGCTAAAGTTGCCTCTTAAAAAGAGGAATAAAATCTTAATGCCTTAATTAAAAAAATTAGGAAAAATCAAAGCTTTTAAGGACACCAATTTTCTTTGTGAATGAATAATGTATCATAAATAAATAAATGTTCTTCCTAAAAATACAGGATGCATAAGTCACGGCACCCCTATGTTAAATTCCCATAGAGTCAGGCAGATTTTTATTTTTAAAAGCCAGTTATTTCATGGATCATTTATTTATGACACATTATTCATTCACAAAGAAAATTTGTGTCCTTAAAGGTTGGAGTTTTCCTAATTTTTCTAAATAAGGCATTAAGATCAATATCCAAAAGATGATTTTTTATTCCTCTTTTTAGGCAACTTTAGCATGGGTGTGCAAACTTATTCACATCACTGTATTTAATGTCTGTTATTGAATTCATTAAAAATTATATTTATATTTATTGTTAAAAATTTATAGTATTAATTTGTAAACATGTTAACACATTTTTTACTAGTGCTGGGCAACCATTAATCACGATTCATCCAAAATAAAAGTTTGTGTTTACATAATACGTGTGTGTGTGTGTGCTGCGTATAATTATTCTGTATATATAAATACACACACATGCTTTTATATATTTTAGAATTTTTTTAAATTTATATATAAAATATTAATATGAATGATGTATATACATACAATATAAATATATATGTGTGTGTATTATATATAGAAAACAATCATACGCAGTACACACACATGTATTATGTAAACACAAACTTTTATTTTGTTTGCGATTAATCGCCCGCCACTAATTTTTACACAATGTAATATTTATTTAAATGCATTGTATATTATATTTATTTTATCTGTATAATTTAATATTTATTTTAAAATACATTTAAAATAAATTTTGTATTTTTATCTGTAAACTTTTATATTTCTTTTTAAAATGATTTAACATAAACGTAAGGTTGCTTTAGGATGCTCACAAAAAACTCATTAAAACTTAGACTTTAGAATCTGTCACCAAAAAAAAAAAAGGTGCATGATGGGTGTCTTCCTGCTGTGTTCATCTACAAATCATAACTCTCAGTGTCAAAAGCTTTGTAACTGATCCGTCACTAATTTAGATATAACGTCCTGAATTTCTGAGGTTACTTTGTCATTCAACCAGAGAAAAGCACGAATAGAGACCTGAGAAAATGGCTGAATAAATCATGTGTTAAAATTCATTAGCAAAGCCTTTCTGAGCACCAAAATGACAAGACATTAAATATGTATTATTTATTAAATGTCGGCACTTACGGAAAAGGGGGTCTAGTGATGTTAATTAGCCAGCCGTTCGGTCAAAAAGGACTGTTTTGAATGGAAAGTGAAAGCTAAATCCAGGCACGTTTTTTTTTTTCCTCTTTCTAAATTGACTTAGGTGGAAATGAAGAGGCTAATTACAGCTGCTCTGAAATGCAAAGCTAATTTGGGGGCCAATATGACAGACTAACTGACATCCGCCATCAAGTGGCTTGTTCCAATGGCCACCAGGGATTTGAGTGTGTGTGTGTATGTGGATAATCACACACTTGTTCACTGATGCACTCTTAACCAGCTCAGCCATGTAAGTGTCGGAGGACAGACACTAGCCTGTGTTTTACTGTGAATGTGATCGAAAGCTCTTAGACTGTTTGACGTGTGTGTGTGTGTGTGTGTGTGTTGAGGTCACTTCTGTGATCTGCTAAAGTGGAAACGAGGAGAGCCGTTATCCACTCAGAGAGAGCCGCCCCACTGTTGGCTGAAAGGAAACAAGCGATGTCTTGAGTTATAACTCCGTAACAGGTCTTTCTGTTGTTCAGGAGAGAGCTGGTGAGAGTGAAAGTGAGGGGAGAGGGGTAATTATCGTCAGAAATGAGGCTCGGCGAACGATTCGCGCTGCTGGGC